AGACACGTCTTAAGCCAAATCTCTTTCTTCCTCTCTCCTCTCCTCCCTCTCTTCTTCTTCTTCTTCTCCTCCCTGTCTCCTCTCTCTTCTTCTTCTTCTGTCGTCGCTCAGGTGAAGGAGGTGGGCGTGTCGGTGGAGGACTGCAGTTGTCTCGCTGAGGACGCGTCTCGTGTTTTTGACGCGTACTGGTCCGTGGGCGGCGCCGACGGCTCGCTGCCTCCCTATTGGCCGGCGCGTCTCTCCGCCCTCTCCAGCTCCCACAATCCTCTGCACCTCAAGTTCAACGGCGTCCCGGCGCGAGTCTACCTCTCCGTGAGTAACCACGCTCCGACGCTCCGACGCTCGACACGTTTACATGACAGATTTAAATCTGAATAAAATCATTTAATTCTGATTAAAAATGAATTCTGCTTTAAAAAGATCAATGACCATGAAATACTTTAAACAACTTAAGTCTTAAAACTGGACTAAAGCAGGACTAAAACTGGACTAAGCAGGACTAAAACTGGACTAAAACTGGACTAAAGCAGGACTAAAACTGGACAAAAACTGGACTAAAACTAGACTAAAGTAGGACTAAAACTGGACTAAACCAAGACTAAAACTGGACAAAAACTGGACTAAAAACTGGACTAAAGCAGGACTAAAACTGGACTAAAACTGGACTAAAAGCAGGACTAAACTGGACTAAAGCAGGACTAAAACTGGACTAAAACTGGACTAAAGCAGGACTAAAACTGGACAAAAACTGGACTAAAACTAGACTAAAGTAGGACTAAAACTGGACTAAACCAAGACTAAAACTGGACAAAACCAGGACTAAACCAGGACTAAAACTGGACTAAAGCAGGACTAAAACTGGACAAAAACTGGACTAAAGCAGGACTAAAACTGGACTAAAGCAGGACTAAAACTGGACTAAAACTGGACTAAAACTGGACAAAAACTGGACTAAAACTGGACTAAAGCAGGACTAAAACTGGACAAAAACTGGACTAAAACTAGACTAAAGTAGGACTAAAACTGGACTAAACCAAGACTAAAACTGGACAAAACCAGGACTAAAACTGGACTAAAGCATGGGACTAAAACTGGACTAAACCAGGACTAAAACTGGACTAAACCAGGACTAAAACTGGACTAAACCAAGACTAAAACTGGACAAAAACTGGACAAAACCAGGACTAAAACCAGGACTAAACCAGGACTAAACCAGGACTAAAACTGGACTAAAAGGACTAAACCAGGACTAAAACTGGACTAAACCAGGACTAAAACTGGACTAAACCGGGACTAAAACTGGACTAAACCAGGACTAAAACTGGACTAAACCAGGACTAAAACTGGACTAAAACTGGACTAAACCAGGACTAAAACTGGACTAAACCAGGACTAAAACTAGACTACAGCAGGACTAAAGCAGGACTAAAACTGGACTAAAGCAGGACTAAAAATTAACTAAACCAGGCCTAAAACTAGACTAAAGCAGAACTAAAACTGGACTAAAGCAGAACTAAAGCAGGACTATAACAGGACTAAAACTGGACTAAAGCAGGACTAAAACTGGACTAAAAATTGACTAAATCTGGACTAAACCAGGACTAAACCAGGTGTAAAACTGGACTAAAACTGGACCAAACCAGGACTACCCTCCAGACGTGAGCGGAATTAAATAAAGACAACTGAACGTGTTTTCCATGTGAACTCGAAGGAGAATATTTGAATTCTGAACTATTTAATTCAGAATTTAAAAAAACATCATGTAAACGTGGACACTGAGGATCTAGTTTCGATATTAGTTTCAGTATCGATTAGTGTTTGATTTTTTGATCCCTGGACCTAACCCGCTCTCGTCTGGTCTCTTCTCGTTCCTGTGGCGTTTCGTCCGGTCTGGTTCTGGTTCTGGTCTGGTTCTGGTTCTGGTTCTGGTCCGGTCCCTCAGAGCGCTCCTCCTCAGCTCTCCACTCGGGGGCGCACCGACGACCTGGAGGCCATTCTGTCTGTGATGGACGACGCCCGACAGTTCATCCACGTCTCCGTCATGGACTTTCTCCCCCAGGATCAGTTCTCCAAACCACCAAGGTACTTTCTGAAACTGAACCAGGACTGGACCAGGACTGAACCAGGACTGGACCAGGACTGAACCAGGACTGAACCAGGACTGAACCAGGACTGAACCAGGACTGGATCAGGACTGTGTCAGGACTGAACCAGGTCTGAACCAGGACTGGATCAGGACTGAACCAGGACTGAACCGGGACCAGGACTGAACCAGGACTGAACCTGGACCAGGACTGAACCAGGACTGTGTCAGGACTGAACCAGGTCTGAACCAGGACTGAACCGGGACCAGGACTGAACCAGGACTGTGTCGGGACTGAACCGGGACTGAGGACTGAACCGGGACTGAACCGGGACCAGGACTGAACCAGGACTGTGTCGGGACTGAACCGGGACCAGGACTGGACCGGGACTGGATCGGGACTGTGTTGGGACTGGGCCAGGACTGGGTCGGGACTGGACCGGGACTGGACCGGGACTGGACCGGGACTGGACCGGGACTGGACCGGGACTGGGACTGGGTCGGGACTGGGCCGGGACTGGGTCGGGACTGGACCGGGACTGGGTCGGGACTGGACCGGGACTGGACTGGGACTGGGTCGGGACTGGGCCGGGACTGGGTCGGGACTGGACCGGGACTGGGTCGGGACTGGGCCGGGACTGGGTCTAGACTGGACCGGGACTGGGTCGGGACTGGACCGGGACTGGGTCTGGACTGGACTGGGACTGGGCCGGGACTGGACTGGACCGGGACTGGGTCGGGACTGGACCGGGACTGGACCGGGACTGAACCAGGACCAGGATTGAACCAGGAATGAGCCGGGATCAGGACTAAATAAGAACCAGGACTAAACCGAGACTGGACCAAGGACTTAATCATGACCAGGACTGAACCAAGACCAGGACTGAGCCAGGACTGAATCAGGACTGAGCCAAGACCAGGTCTAAATGAGAACCAGGACTGAACTAGGACCAGAACTGAACCAAGACCAAGACTGAACCTCTCCTCTCCTCCCCTGACCTTCTCCTCCTCTGGTCCTCCTCTGGTCCTCCTCTGGTCCTCCTCTGGTCCTCTGGTCTCCTCTGGTCTTCCTCTGGTCTCTCCTCTGGTCCTCCTCTGGTCTCCTCCTCTGGTCTTCCTCCTCTCTGGTCTCCTCCTCTGGTCCTCTGGTCTGGTCCTCCTCTGGTCCTCCTCCTCCTCCTCTGGTCTCCTCTGGTCCTCCTCTGGTCCTCCTCTGGTCTTCCTCTGGTCCTCCTCTGGTCCTCCTCTGGTCTTCCTCCTGGTCCTCCTCTCCTCTGGTCTCCTCTGGTCTCCTCTCTGGTCCTCCTCTGGTCTTCCTCTGGTCCTCTGGTCCTCCTCTGGTCCTCCTCCTCTGGTCTCCTCTGGTCTCCTCTGGTCCTCCTCCTGGTCCTCCTCTGGTCTCCTCTGGTCTCCTCTGGTCTCCTCTGGTCCCTCCTCCTGGTGGTTCTCTCCTCTCTGGTCTTCCTCTGGTCCTCCTCTGGTCCTCCTCTGGTCCTCCTCTGGTCCTCCTCTGGTCTCCTCTGGTCTCCTCTGGTCTCCTCTGGTCTTCCTCTGGTCCTCCTCTGGTCCTCCTCTGGTCTCTGGTCTTCCTCTGGTCCTCCTCTGGTCTTCCTCTGGTCCTCCTCTGGTCCTCCTCTGGTCCTCCTCTGGTCCTCCTCTGGTCTTCCTCTGGTCTCCTCTGGTCCTCCTCTGGTCCTCCTCTGGTCCTCCTCTGGTCCTCCTCTGGTCCTCCTCTGGTCTCCTCTGGTCTCCCTCTGGTCCTCCTCTGGTCCTCCTCTGGTCCTCCTCTGGTCTTCCTCCTCTGGTCTTCTCTGGTCCTCCTCTGGTCCTCCTCTGGTCCTCCTCTCTGGTCCTCCTCAGGTCCTCCTCTGGCCTCCTTTAGACTCGTCCCTCCGCTCGGCCGCCTGCGTCAGAAGGTTGAAGGTTCGACTCCTGGTCAGCTGTTGGCCTCACTCTCCGGCGGCCATGTTTGTTTACCTTCAGTCTCTGCTCGTGCTGAACCGTCCGCCGCTCAACTGCGACATCCAAGTGGTACGTCCAGATCCCTGCTCGCGTGGACCAAACAAACCGTCGCAAACTGCTCCTCTCACCGTCACAAATTCCAACAGTCGTATTTTGTCAACCGACAATCGACTGTTGACAAACACCGACTGTTGACAGTTTTGGCCAACAGTAGTTTTATTCAACACTCGTTCTTCGCCAACAGTTGTTTTTTGCCAACAGTCGTTTTTTGTCACTAGTTGTTTTTTGTCAGCAGTCGGGTTTATTCAACAGTCGTTTTTTGCCAACAGTCGTTTTTTTGTCAACAGTTGTTTTTTGTCAGCAGTTGTTTTTGTCAGCAGTCGGTTTATTCAACAGTCGTTTTTTGCCAACAGTCGTTTTTTTGTCAACAGTTGTTTTTTGTCAACAGTCGTTTTTTGTCAACAGTTGTTTTTTGTCAACAGTCGTTTTTTGTCAGCAGTTGGGGGTTTTTCAACAGTCGTTTTTGGCAGCAGTCGGTTTTATTCAACAGTCGTTCTTTGCCAACAGTCGTTTTTTGTCAGAAGTTGTTTTTTTGTCAACAGTCGTTTTTTGTCAACAGTCGTTTTTTGTCAGCAGTTGTTTTTAGGTCAACAGTTGTTTTTTGTCAACAGTCGTTTTATTTAACAGTCGTTTTTATTCAACAGTCGTTTTTTGTCAGCAGTCATTTTTTTGTCAGCAGTCGGTTTTATTTAACAGTCGGTTTTATTTAACAGTCGTTTTTATTCAACAGTTATTTTTTGTCAACAGTCATTTTTTGTCAACAGTCGGTTTTATTTAACAGTCGGTTTTATTTCAACAGTCGTTTTTATTCAACAGTTATTTTTTTCAGCAGTCGTTTTTTGTCAGCAGTCGTTTTTTGTCAGCAGTCGTTTTTTGTCAGCAGTCGGGTTTATTCAACAGTCGTTTTTTGCCAACAGTCATTTTTTGTCAGCAGTCGTTTTTGTCAGCAGTTGTTTTTAGGTCAACAGTTGTTTTTTGTCAACAGTCATTTTTTGTCAGCAGTCGTTTTTATTTAACAGTCGGTTTTATTTAACAGTCGGTTTTATTTAACAGTCGGTTTTATTCAACAGTCGTTTTTTTGCCAACAGTCGTTTTTTGTTTTTTTTGTCAACAGTCGTTTTTCTTGTGTCTGTTTCAGAAAGTGTTCACGATTCCCTCGACGCCGGATCAGATGAAGATCCCGTACGCTCGAGTCAATCACGCCAAGTTCATGGTGACGGACCGAGTGCTTTATATCGGTAAAAACAAAAAATCTATTATTACGAATATAAGACTGGACCAGAACCGAACCAGAACCAGAACCGAACCAGGACTGAACCAGGACTGAACCAGGACTGAACTAGTGAATCTCGAGTCCGTTTGTCAGTTCAGGATTCAGATTTTTATTTTCCGTTCCAGGGACTTCAAACTGGTCCGAGGGATACTTCACGCAGACGGCCGGAGTCGGTCTCGTCGTGAACCAGACCGGGTCCGAACCGGGACTGGAGACCCTCCGGACCCAAGCCGACCAGATCTTCCTCCGAGACTGGACCTCGCAGTACTCCACAGACCTGACCCTGGACCAGACCGACGCCTGCCCCCTGGCCCAGAGCTAGACCGGGACTGGACCAGGACTGGAACAGGGACTAGACCAGGGACTAAAACAGGGACTAAGCTAGGGACTAGACTAGACCAGGGACTAGACCAGGGACTGGACCAGGGACTGGACCAGGACTGGAACAGGGACTAAAACAGGGACTAAGCTAGGGACTAGACCAGGGACTAGACCAGGGACTGGACCAGGGACTGGACCAGGGACTGGACCAGGACTGGACCAGGGACTAGAACAGGGACTAAAACAGGGACTAAGCTAGGGACTAGACCAGGGACTGGACCAGAGACTAAACCAGGGACTGAACCGAGGACTAGACCAGGGACTAAACCAGGGACTGAACCGAGGACTAGACCAGGGACTAAACCAGGGACTGAACCGAGGACTAGACCAGGGACTAAACCAGAGACTAAACCAGGGACTGGACCAGGGACTAAGCCGGAGACTAGATCAGGGACGAAAATCAGGGACTAAGCTAGGGACTGGACCAGGGACTAGACCAGGGACTAGACCAGGGACTAGACCAGGGACTAGACCAGGGACTGGACCAGAGACTAAACCAGGGACTAAACCAGAGACTAAACCAGGGACTGGACCAGGGACTAAGCCAGAGACTAGATCAAGGACTAAAATCAGGGACTAAAATCAGGGACTAAACCAGGTCTAAACATGAACTAAACCAGGACTAGATCAGGGACTAAACCGAGACTAAACAAGGACCGAACCAAAGATTAAACAAGAACCCCATGGGGACTCAACCAAAGCAGGACTAAACCAGTACCAAACCAGGTCTAAACCAGGACTAACAAGGACCTAAAGTTGGACCTCTTCATCATATCTGCGTTATGAGGACTGAACCAGGACTAAACCGGGGCTGGACCTGGATTTACCGAGGATTAAACTCATCGTGGACTAAATGGACCTCCCCCCGCTGGACTTGAACCAGTCCTGGATCTGGACCGGACTCTGCACATGTGTTTGAAGTGTTATTTTTGTGTTTGTACAGTTTGTGCCTGGAGCAGTTTGTATATACTCAGACGAGACGTTTACGTTTATGTTTCACACGCAGGTTTTATTTCACTTTTTCAGTTTGGCAAAGATTAAAAAAACTTATAAATGTCTCAAAAGTCGAATCGAGAACTAAACCAGGACTTTTATCAAATCGAATCAGGGGCAAAAGAAGGACTAAACCAGGTCTAAACCAGGTCTAAACCAGGTCTAAACCAGGTCTAAAACCAGGTCTAAACCAGGACTAAACCAGGTCTAAACCAGGTCTAAAACAAGGTCTAAACCAGGTCTTTATCAGGTCTAAACCAGGTCTAAAACAAGATCTAAACCAGGTCTTTATCAGGTCTAAACCAGGTCTAAAACAAGGTCTAAACAAGATCTAAACCAGGTCTTTATCAGGTCTAAACCAGGTCTAAAACCAGGACTAAACCAGGTCTAAACCAGGTCTAAAACCAGGACTAAACCAGGTCTAAACCAGGTCTAAACCAGGTCTAAAACAAGGTCTAAACCAGGTCTAAAACAAGGTCTAAACCAGGTCTAAAACAAGGTCTAAACCAGGTCTTTATCAGGTCTAAACCAGGTCTAAAACAAGGTCTAAACCAGGTCTTTATCAGGTCTAAACCAGGTCTAAAACAAGGTCTAAACCAGGTCTTTATCAGGTCTAAACCAGGTCTAAAACCAGGTCTAAACTCGTGTAGTAAAACGGTTAAATATAACAGGTCTAAACAAGATCTAAAACCAGGACTAAACCAGGTCTAAACAAGATCTAAACCAGGTCTTTATCAGGTTTAAACCAGGTCTAAACAAGATCTAAACCAGGTCTTTATCAGGTTTAAACCAGGTCTAAACAAGGTCTAAACAAGATCTAAACCAGGTCTAAACAAGATCTAAACCAGGTCTAAACCAAGTTTAAACCAGGTCTTAATCAGGTCTTAATCAGGTCTTAATCAGGTCTTAAACCAGGTTTAGACCAGGTCTTCTTTAGTCTCTTGTTCTTCTGTCTCAGTTTTGTTTTAAATCGTGGGTTTTGTGCATTAATTGACTTTATTTGAGCTTTTTTCTCATGTTCTGACGTTGTTCCTCGTCACAGGCCGAGCTCCATCACCTGCTCGTTTCCACGGAGACGTCGCTGCTCCGCCCGGAATGTTCCGCGGTGCGACTTTAAACGGCTCCAAACCAGGACTAAAACTGGAGTAAACCAGGTCTAAACCAGGACTAAACCAGGACTAAAACTGGAGTAAACCAGGTCTAAACCAGGACTAAACCAGGTTTAAACCAGGACTAAAACTGGAGTAAACCAGGTCTAAACCATGTGGTTTTAAAGCTCAAAAATACAGAGAAAAGTGGGCGTTGTGACTGCCAGCGGGGTCGCCTCTCCGCAGACCTGACCCGTGACCCGGACAGGTTCGGGTTAGAAAGGTTTAAAGCCACACTGCGGAACATTCCAGACCCAGAGAGCGAAGAGCGACGTTTCCAAAGAGACGAAAAGCGTCGGACGGACGGACCCGCAAACGTAACCACCAAAGACGACCGGGGCTTTTTCCCCTGTGTCGCCGTGGAGACGGGGAGAGCGTCCGTGTACGTAGATCCGACTCAGAATCTATTTGTCTAAAGCGGCGACGTGTTTCCACTGTTGACTGGACGCAGACGCTATCCCTCTGCACTGGAGTGTCTGCGGACGCCGAGACAACCACCAGTTTACTGTAAATAAACAAATCAACTAGAAATGTGTCTGTGGAATCACCGGGACTAAACCAGGACTAAACCAGGACTAAAACAGGACTAAACCAGGACTAAACCAGGACTAAACCGGGACTAAAACCAGGACTATAAACCAGGACTAAAACCGGGACTAAACCAGGACTAAACCCAGACTATAAACCAGGACTAAACCAGGACTAAAACCAGGACTAAACCCAGACTATAAACCAGGACTAAACCAGGACTAAACCAGGTCTAAATTAGAACTAAACCAGGTCTAAATTAGAACTAAACCAAGGACTAAACCGGGACTAAAACCAGGTCTAAACCAAGGACTAAACCAAGGACTAAACCAGGATTAAAACAGGTCTAAAACAGGACTAAAACCAGGTCTAAACGAGATGTAAACCAGGTCTTAATCGGGTCTAAAACCAGGTCTAAAGTCAGGACTAAACCAGGTCTAAACTGAACCAAAACAGATTTTATTCACATTTTATTCCTCACACAATCTGAAAACATTTAAAATAATAAAAACAATAATAATAATAATAATAAAGTTGATTGTCCCTTCAGAGGCTCCGTAGCAGCAGCGGCTCCTCCTCCTCTTCCTCCTCCTCTTCCCTCCTCCTCTTCTCCTCCTCCTCCTTCCTCCTCCTCTTCCTCCTTCCTCCTCCTCTTCCTCCTCCTCCTCCTCTTCCTCCTCCTCTTCCTCTTCCCCCCTCCTCCTCTCTCCTCTTCCTCCTCCTCCCTTCCTCTTCCCCCTCCTCCTCTTCCTCCTTTCCTCCTCCTCTTCCTCCCCCTCCTCCTCTTCCTCTTCCTCCTCTCCTCCTCTTCCTCCTCCTCCTCTTCCTCCTCTTCCTCCTCTTCCTCTTCTCCTCTTCCTCCTCTCCTCCTCCTCTTCTCCTTCTCCTCCTCCTCCTCTCCTCCTCCTCTCTCTCCTCCTCTCTCCTCTCCTCCTCTTCCTCCTCTTCCTCTTCTCCTCCTCTTCCTCTTCCTCCTCTTCCTCCTCCTCCTCCTCCTCCTCTTCCTCCTCTTCCTCTCCTCCTCCTCCTCCTCTTCTCCTCCTCCTCCTCCTCTTCCTCCTCCTCCTCCTCCTCTTCCTCCTCCTCCTCCTCCTCCTCCTCCTCTCCTCCTCCTCCGTCCAAACGCCCAACTTCATTTTCACCACAAACTCAAACACTAAAAACTGACGACGAGGACGCGGCTTTTCACAATAAAACTCTTCCTCCTCGTCAAAATAAAGCGGCTCTTTCAGAATAAGAGTCCAGTATTTACAACAACAAAAAAAAACCAAAACTAAAAATATTGAAACTGTGTGTTTGTTTTTATTCCATGGAGAGTTGGACGCTGTCGGTCTGGTTCTGCTGCTGCTGCTGCTGCTGCTGCTGATCGTATTTACGAGCTGAAAAAACAACAAAACAAAAAGAGGATTTAGAAAAGGAAAAAAAAAAAAAGAAAATGTCCCAAACTGTGTCTTTATTCTGTGTCCTCTGTGTTTGACGTGTTCTTCTAGAATGTTCCACAATAAACCGGGTCCTGACCAGGTCTAAATCTGGACTAAAACAGGTTTAAGATTCAACTGGAACTAAACCAGGACTAAAACCAGGAGTAAAACCAGGTCTACACCAGGTCTAAACCAGGTCTAAACTTGGACTAAACCAGGACTATAACAGGACTAAACCAGGTCTAAACCAGGACTAAAACAGGGACTAAACCAGGACTATAACAGGACTAAACCAGGTCTAAACCAGGTCTAAACTTGGACTATAACAGGACTAAACCAGGACTGAACCAGGACTAAAACAGGGACTAAACCAGTTCTAAACCAGTAACTGGACCAGGACTGAACAAGGACTAAAACATGGACTAAACCAGGTCTAAACCAGAACTAAACCAGTAACTGGACCAGGACTAAACCAGTAACTGGACCAGGACTAAAACAGGGACTAAACCAGGACTAAAACAGGGACTAAACCAGGACTATAACAGGACTAAACCAGGACTAAAACAGGGACTAAACCAGGTCTAAACCAGTAACTGGACCAGGACTGAACCAGGACTAAAACATGGACTAAACCAGGTCTAAACTTGGACTAAACCAGAACTAAACCAGTAACTGGACCAGGACTAAAACAGGGACTAAAACAGGACTAAAACAGGGACTAAAACAGGGACTAAACCAGGACTAAAACAGGGACTAAACCAGGACTATAACAGGACTAAACCAGGACTGAACCAGGACTAAAACAGGGACTAAACCAGGTCTAAACCAGTAACTGGACCAGGACTGAACCAGGACTAAACCAGGACTAAAACATGGACTAAACCAGGTCTAAACTTGGACTAAACCAGTAACTGGACCAGGACTAAACCAGTAACTGGACCAGGACTAAAACAGGGACTAAACCAGGACTAAAACAGGGACTAAACCAGGACTAAAACAGGGACTAAACCAGGTCTAAACCAGTAACTGGACCAGGACTGAACCAGGACTAAAACATGGACTAAACCAGGTCTAAACTTGGACTAAACCAGAACTAAACCAGTAACTGGACCAGGACTAAAACAGGGACTAAAACAGGGACTAAAACAGGGACTAAACCAGGACTAAAACAGGGACTAAACCAGGACTGAACCAGGACTAAAACAGGGACTAAACCAGGTCTAAACCAGTAACTGGACCAGGACTGAACCAGGACTAAAACATGGACTAAACCAGGTCTAAACTTGGACTAAACCAGTAACTGGACCAGGACTAAACCAGTAAAACACAGGACTAAACAGGACTAAAACAGGGACTAAACCAGGACTAAAACAGGACTAAACCAGGACTAAACCAAAAACAGGGACTAAACCAGGTCTAAACCAGTAACTGGACCAGGACTGAACCAGGACTAAAACATGGACTAAACCAGGTCTAAACTTGGACTAAACCAGAACTAAACCAGTAACTGGACCAGGACTAAAACAGGACTAAAACAGGACTAAAACAGGGACTAAAACAGGACTAAAACCAGGACTAAAACAGGGACTAAACCAGGACTAAACCATAAACAGGACTAAAACCAGGACTGAAACCAGGACTAAAACAGGGACTAAACTCAAACCAGGTCTAAACCAGGTAAACCAGGACTAAACAGGACTAAACCAGGTCTAAAACCAGGACTAAACCAGGTCTAAACCAGGACTAAACCACCAGGTCTAAACCAGGACTGGTCTCTAAACCAGGGAACAGAAACAAGTCCAGTGAACTGAAACAGACTGGACCTAAACCAGGACTCTAAAAACACAGGACTAAAACACAGGAAACTGAAAACCCAGGACTAAACAGGAACTAAACGGACATGGACTAAAAGGAAGGATTGGAACATGAACTGAACCAGGACTAAACAAGGACCAAACCAGGTCTAAACTAGGTCTAAACCAGGACTAAACCAGGTCTAAAACAGGACTGAACCAGGTCTAAAACAGGACTGAACCAGGTCTAAAACAGGACTGAACCAGGACTAAACCAGGACTCAACAAGGTCTAAACCAGGACTAAACCAGGTCTAAAACAGGACTGAACCAGGACTAAACCAGGATTAAACCAGGACTCAACTAGGTCTTAACATGGACTAAAACAGGAACTGAACCAGGACTAAACAAGGTCTAAACTAGGAATAAAACAGGACTAAACAAGGACCAAACCAGGTCTAAACAAGGAACTAAACCAGGACTAAACTGAGTCTTAACAAGGACTAAATCAGGACTAAACCAGGACTAAGACAGGTCTAAACCAGGACTGAACCAGGACTAAACCAGAACAAAACCAGGTCTAAAACAGGACTGAACCAGGACTAAACCAGGACTAAACCAGGACTGAACCAGGACTCAACCAGGACTCAACAATGTCGAAACCAGGACTGAACCAGGTCTAAAACAGGAACTGAACCAGGACTAAACAAGGTCTAATCTAGGAATAAAACAGGACTAAGACAGGTTTAAACAAGGTCTAAACCAGGTCTAATGAAGGAACTAAACCAGGTCTAAACAGGACTAAACCAGGTCTAAAACAGGACTGAACCAGGACTAAACAAGGAACTAAACTAGGACTAAACCGGAACAGAAACGGAACCAGGACAGTCACATTTTTTCTTTGTTTTTTTGCTCGTCTTTTTGAAGCTGATTTTTTGTTTTGTTTACAGCGGCAGAGCGACGATCACGTGCGTCCTGACGTTTGACCCTTGACCCCTGACCCCGCGCTTTGTTTACATCTGTCCCTTTTTTCGTGCGTTTCTCGTGTTTTGTTTTTTTTGTTTTGTTTTTTTGTTTCTTTTTTTGTTGTTGTTTTTTTGCACGTACTTTTTGGCGTAGATGAGCAGACCGAAGCTCACCAGAATCACCAGCAGATACACGTTTGTCGCCTCGTTCCACGCCTCGTGCACAGAATAATCCAGCGCCTCCTGCGGCTCGTTCCCCAGCAGCGCGTGACCCATGAGACCCGACAAATACGATCAGATTACGCACAAAAAACACGGACAGATCACACGGACAAACGGCGAGATAAATACGGAATAAAAACGAACGAGAGATTTTCTTCCGTCTTCTTCCTTCAGGTGGGTTTTATTTACGGTTGGCAAACGACTAAAGGTGAATTACCGCCACCAGCCGACAAGGAGTGAGAACTGACACGTGATAAACTAATAAAAATAAATAATAACAATAATAATAATAACTAAAGTAAAATAACTCCAATTAATAAAAAAAAATCATAAAAAAATGTATCATAAATAATAATTTTTCCACCTTTAAAATTATTTTATTTTCTTCTTCGTCTTCTTCTTCAGGTGGGTTTTATTTACGGTTGGCAAACGACTAAATGTGAATTACCGCCACCAGTCGACAAGGAGTGAGAACTGAAACGTGATAAACTAATAACATAATGGCAATAAATAAATGTAATAATAATAATAGTAATAGTAATAAAAGTAAAATAACTCAATAAATAATAATAATTTAAAAAAAAAATCTTTCCACTTGTTTCAATTATTTAATTTGCGACATACAAAATGCACACAGACATTAGAGAGGACAGGACAATACACGAAGTTTTTGTTTACCGTCGTACAAACTAATAATAATGATAAAGAAGGCACAAAGTGTATTGTTTATGATCGTATCAATTTACATTTCAAAACTATTTATAAAGTCCAAATCTATTGTGTTTGTTGCGTCTGTTAAGCACTTCACGTCACATGAATTAAAATCCTAGTTTAGTGCCTTAATAGAAATGACACTTTCACTTTAGTTGTGACCCGCCCTTACCTCATCATTATTCACCAGCGAAGAATAGGTGAGCGTGAGGCTCAGGTCATGACAGGTGTTTTTATGAAGAAAACCAGAAGAAAAACTTCAGAACATGCTGCGGTTTGATTTATTTCTCCTCGTAGCGCTGTCCGCATTTCCATGTTGTTTTTCAGAAGGTAAATCCCACTCTTACACTTTTTTATTCAGACTATGGATACGTGAATCATTGTCGTGCGCTCTCTGTTCGGGCTGTTTGTGCTGTCGTTAAAGTTCAGATGATTCTAGATTAGTACAAGTGTTGTGTTTTCATGTGACTGGGGGTAACAAGTGTGTTTTTCTTAATTCAAGCAACTTTTCTCTAGTTTAGTATTTATGGAGCTACCCGGAAATGTCACTTCTGACAAGTCATCTGTAAGAGTATGCGGGCTCCGGTTATATAAGGTCATATCAGGCTCACTCATTTATTTTTTAAGACATGGTGCCATCTAGTGGTGCGCACAGGTACTAACCCCAGACGTGAAAACACTTTGGCTCACGCTCGTTTGGTTTGAACATGTTCACTTCTCTTTAAATATGATGAAAGTGAAAGGTCCAACACAAACTGACAGAATAATAATAATTATGATTTTAAATAGTTAAATGGAGTAGAGCCGCTGCTCCTTCACGTTGAGAGGAGCCAGTTGAGGTGGCTCGGGCATCTTTTCCGGATGCCTCCTGGACGTGTCCCTCGGAGGTGTTCTGGGCATGTCCCACTGTGTGGCGCTATGTCTCTGTGAGCTGTTCTTATTTAAAGGAGCACTGTGTAACTTTATGCACTTTTTGAAGAAGAACCTCTGGCAGCTTTTGTCTCTAATCACAAATTTGCAACACAGACAAATCTCTATTTTTTTTATTTATTGCTATAGTCAAATTAATAATCTCAATTCAATTTACTGTCTACTTAAAGGCAAAAACACACACAAAACATGTTTTTATACACATCTAAAAGTTACACAATGCAGCTTTAAGTCCTGTAAGAAGTGGCTTTTTTTTTCATGTTCAGGGTTAATGTAAAAAATAGAAGCAGGCGTCAGAAATGTCTTTATATTTGTATCCTGTGAGGCACAGGGGCCCCACACAAATCCAAACGTCATCTCACACTTTAGGGTGTGTCTGTGTGTATGTGTCTGTGTGTGTGTGTGTGTGTGTGTGTGTGTGTGTGTGTGTTATAACCCTCCAGCACTTGTGCTCGCAGCCTCAGCCGGTACTTTTGAAGCTGCGATGACCGGAGTGAAGACGAGACTTATCGCACCGCACGCCTCCTGATGCTTTCCTACAAAACTTTTCCAGACAATACCGAATAACGGTGTTTCTGGCGTGTGGCTGGAATGTTTTATGAAGAAAACCAGAAGAAAAACTTCACCAACATGCTGCGGGTTGGTTTATTTCTCCTCGCGCTGTCCGCATTTCCCCGTTGTTTTTCAGAAGGTAAATCCCACTCTTATACTTTTTTATTCAGACTATGGAAGCACCGACACGACTTAAATACGTGAATCATTGTCGTGCGCTCTCTGTTCGGGCTGTTTGTGCTGTCGTTAAAGTTCAGATGATTCTAGATTAGTACAAGTGTTGTGTTTTCATGTGACTGGGGGCAACTTGTATAACTTTTCTCTAGTTTAGTATTTATGGAGCTACCCAGAAATGTCACATCTTGATCGAGCGGAAAATCACTAGTCACTTCTATAATGGTCGCTGCGGGTTCAGGTCATATCAGGTTCATTCATATCAGGTTCATTCATTTATTTTTAAGACATGGTGCCATCTAGTGGTGCGCACAGGTACTAACCCCAGACGTGAAAACACTTTGGCTCACGCTCGTTTGGTTTGAACATGTTCACTTCTCTTTAAATATGATGAAAGTGAAAGGTCCAACACAAACCGACAGAATAATAATAATTATGATTTTAAATAATTAATGGTTTAGATTTAGATTCAACCTCAGAGACGAGAAGAGCTGCAGAATGTGTTTTATTTGTGAACACAAAACATGCTCCAGGACAAGTCAAGTGCAGGTTTAACCCAGAGACACTGGAGGGTCAAGTGCAGAGGACGTTTGTCTCTCTGGGGTTTGTGAGTTTGTGTCTCTGAGTGTCTCGTGTTTTCTCCCTCAGACGCTGTTGTCTCCTGTGTTCTTCTGGAGACCTGTGTTCTGCCCTGCAGATTTGAGTCTGGACCAGACCCTGTGATCCACTGGACCAAAAGAACCTCATGATCAAACTCCAGTTCATATTTACTTTAAAGGTCGGAACAAGCTTCATATCCAGAACCAGAACTTCAGAGGTCGGACCTCTCTGTTTGAGAAGGAACTGTCCACAGGAAACGCATCACTGCGGCTCTCAGGGGTCAAAGTTCAAGATGAAGGAAGATACAAGTGTTATGCCAATGCTGCCTACAAACTCACCACAGAGATTTATGTGGATGTGTTGGTTTCTGGTAAATACTGTGTAACTACCCTGGTTTTCTTAGCGAGAAAGGAGTTCACGCTTCATACTGATGATTGTGTGTCGGTATTTATTTTCAGCACTCTTCATTAACACACCAATACACCGTGAAAACTAAAACAAAACAGACAAAAAATAACTTAACTTTTCATAAACACCCTTAAATAAATACACAATAGAAACTATATTTACCGTGTTCGCCTTTACGTTACCAGCAGTAGTAAAACAGCATATTTTTATCTTGATGTCCCTTTTCTTTACACCTCTCTCTGTTTTCTCTCTTTTGTCCCCTTCTCTCTTTTTCGCGCTACTATTTTTCTCTTTTCTACTTCCGGGGGTAAGGCAAAGGTCACACAACTAAAAAAGGCAAATATATTCACAAATAAAATACAAAAACAATAACTGCAATATTATGACCCCTCTCAATACTTGAACAAATAAAATAATAACCTTTTCACTTATTACTATAAAAACAAATATACTGACATTATCGTCAGTTACATACTGAGTATTATTTTGATAATAACATGTGTATCAGTGTAAAAGTGGTTTGACAGTGAAGTGTCTCTGCAGCTCCAGTGTTGACAGTGTCTCTGGAGACTCGGGGGCAGGAGCTCCTCTGTAGATCTGAGGGAATCTACCCCCAACCCTCAGTGTCCTGGAGCCCTCCCTCCTCTGCAGCTCGTACCAGGGTGACCCCCTCAGAGGGCGGAGTGTGGTCTGTGCACAGCTCTGTGTCTCTGCCTCACAGCCCTCCACATCAACACAGCTGTAATGTGAGCAACAGCAGGGGCAGCTGGAGGAGCGCCACCTACAGGACCAACCGTGAGTCACGCACCAGAACTCTCACACTTTACTTTCACTGTTTTATTTACTCTTTTGTTTGTTGTTGTTTTGTTTTGTTTCGTTTCTAGTCGACATTCATGTTTCAGCTTCTGGAGAGACTGAAGTTCCCTGCACTAAACCCTCTGCTCCAGTGAAGAGTCTCATCTGGAGGTTCAACCAGAATCACATCATTCTGAGTCGGTCTGGACCAGAACAGAAAAACACTGAGTCCTGGACACAGTTTGTTGTTGGAGTCACAGAGTCCAACAGTCTGGTCCTGAAAGAATCTGACCAAAGATCAGCTGGGCCTGTTCTCCTGTGAACTCAAGACTGAACGAGAGAACTTTATTATCCTCACTCAAGTCACTGAAGCAGAGACAAAGACAGAGACAAAGACAGGAGGTAAGTGTGAGCAGTGCCTCCTGGTTTCATCTGATCACAGGGATCTCACACACTCTTCTGTTTCTGCAGGAAAACTCTCACATCTGTGGATAATTGTTTTATTGGTACTCCTGTATGTCCTGATCATCGCTCTTCTCGTCGTCGTCTGTTGCAGACGTTCCCAGGTGAGTAGATCTAGAGTCAGATCCAGTTTGTTTCTGTTCTTCTGTCAGGACCAGAGCAGCTGGACCCTGTCGTTCTCTCTGAAAAGCATCTGGAGCCTCGTCACCTTCAAGTTTGTGAAGGACCAATCAGGAGTCATTTATCTGCTGCTGTAAACGCAGGAACAAGCCTCCTCAGATCTCTCTGTTTCATGGAGACTTTAGAACATCTCATTGTCTTATTAAGGCCTTATGAAGCTGATGTTCCTGTGTCTTTGTCTCCTGATGATCTGAAGCTCTGTCTGTGGCTCAGTCCTCTGTGTCATTTTCAAATCAAGGAAAATGATTTGGACACAGCAGCTCACACATCACAATATAATATCAAAACAAAGAGTAAAAGACAGAAATGGTGATAATAAATTCTAAATAAGTGGCAGAAATGGCAAGCGTCAGGAGTCAAACATTATATAAATGTATAAGTAAAAATAATCTAACTGTGTGTTGTTTTACAGGTTGAGGTGTGAAACTGAGAATCTCCTGCTTCACTGTTGTGCTGTTGTTGATTTGACAAACTGGACGTCACTTCCCTTCAGCTCTGGAGTCTGGAGCTGATAAAAGACGATGGAGAGACTTGTGTTCTGCAAACACAAACACTCTTGCATTGTGTAACTTTTCAGATGGCAGGTCAATCAAATGCTTTTCTCCATTTCTCCCATTTCTGTATTTTTGTTGTGTAGTGCTACGGTAGTTTTACACTGAACCCAATTGTGAACTATGAGATGATTTTATTTTGTAAATACTTAGAGGAAACAAACTGTTTTTATTAGGGCCCAAATGATATAACTGTTGGCCGATAATATCGGCTCTTTGAAACATATCGGCGATCAGTCTAAATCTTACCGATATTTCACATGGGCCTGTTATACCACGTTATAAAGCTCAGACTTCTACATTCTGTTCAGTTTACAGACAGATAAATGTCTTAATATTTGACTCCACATCAGTATTTATCTGCAGAGTTATTTGTCTGTGTGTGTGTGTGTGTGTGGTTATACCAGGTGCTTTTATTATGACGGTGCCACTACTTCCTGTAGAGACGCTCAGTTCCTCTCAGTTGTTCGCAGCAGCAGCAGCAGCAGCAGCAGCAGCAGCAGCAGCAGCAGCAGCAGCAGCAGCAGCAGCAGCAGCAGCAGCAGCAGCAGCAGCAGCAGCAGCAGCAGCAGCAGCAGCAGCAGCAGCAGCAGCAGCAGCAGCAGCAGCAGCACAAACTTCATACTGACTTTATTCAGACGTTGATTGTGATTTTTAAGGCCTTTGCCGTTGTTCCTGTTGGTAAAACATGTGAGATATTGTTTTTATATGTGAATGCATTACTTACAAGACGTACTGTTAGAGTGAATTTGTACTAGAAAGCAAGTCTCATGTGTCTGTGCCTCTTTATTTCTCTGCACGTGTGTGTGGAGCTGTGACACTTGGACGCTGCACTTTGATATTTTTTGTGTTTCACAAAGGTTTTTGAGCATCATATTGTACATCAACACCAAATGTTATTTTTCATATATTGTATTTGGTATAACGTGTACCGTTTGTACATGATTTATTGTTCTTTTAAAAATATAAAATAGCCATGATTGGGGGATTTACTTGTAGAAATGTAAAACTATACGATCACACTGTAAAAATAATTTATTGTACTTAATAATATTGTTATTAGACGTGAGTTGGTCAGAGGAGAGCAGAGGGACACGTGTGTGGAGCTGTGACACTTGGAGTCTGTACTTTGATATTTTTGTGTTTCACAGTAAATCTCCTGAATGGTAAAACCCTGTGTGCGGCTCACTTCATCTACACAACACAACACAGACGACTGCTAATCGGTCGGTTCAAGCACGAAGGTTCCATGTGTCCGTACTGTCCCTGAACACACCACAGACTCACTTCACCGTAACCGTGCCAACGCTAAATTATATGACACATTAAATTAGTCGTGTAAAAAAAATGAAAACACTTCAGAATTCTAATGTTTTACTCAATTTATTTTAGTCGATACATGATATTTACAAAGCAATGAATCGTTTCTACTGATCCATCGATACAGAAACTCAGGACTTAAAGCTGCACTGTGTAACTTTTTGGTTTTCTGGGTCCGTCACCTGCTTGTTTCTATGGATACATCACTGCTCTGTCTGGAATGTTCCGCAGTGTGGCATTAAACAGCTCGACTTGGCGGTTTTAGAGCTCAAAAATATCTCCAGAAAAAACGACGTTCTGAGTGCGAGCGGGTGTCGCCTCTCCGCGGATCTGACCTGGAACTTCTCTCCGGCCCCAGTTTGGTCTCCGTGGAAATAAAAAAGTTTTAAAGCCACACCGTGAAACATTCCAGACAAAGGGAAAACATGTCCACAGGGAAAAAGCGTTTGACGGACTCTACGGAAGATCATTTGTTTCATCAAATTTTGAATTTTAAACACTGTTGAATTTCTCACTTTAAAATTTTTAACTCTGAAAAAACATGTTTGAATTAATTTTATTATTAATTTTTGTTTGCTGAAATTTTAAGTGTACATTTTCTGTGTATAAAATTCAACATAAAAAAATAAATCACCTTTTAAATATTCAGCACAAATATTTTCAAGCCTTCAAATTCAACTGTCAAAATTCAGAGTGTAAAATTCGCAGTGAAGAAAATTCGCAGTAAAGCTCCGAGATGCCGAGGCAGAAGCAATCGATCCAAAGTGATCCGATCGAACTTAGTAACAAACAGAAAATGTTGCAGTGACGCGATCTGATTGGTCAAAATTCGCCTCATCGTGACCTCATCTCATTGATTGGTTAAGTGTAAGCCCCGCCCACAGATGAGAACAGCCAATAGGAAACAGCCTCCGTCCTCCTCGCTCACATGATCGATTGCTTCTGCCTTGGCATCTTGGATTTTTGCTGTGAAATTTTTCACCGCGAATTTTACGTTCTGAATTTCGAGGGCTTGAAAATATCCAAGGTGATTTTTTTTTTTTGGTTTATTTTGAATTGAAAGCAAACTTCAAAATTTCAGCCACGAGTTTAAAAATTCAAAATCTGATGGAACAAATGATCTTCCATAGAACTCTCCGCCAGGAAAAAGCTACACAACCGCACCTCTGAACGAAACATAAAAACTGAAAATCTTTGGACGAGACAAAAATAAGAAAAGTGGTTCTTGAGATAAACGGAAAAAAAAAACGAAGGAAAGAAGAGAGAAGAAGAAAGAAGTTTGAAATCGAAACTTAAATTAAACGGGGGGGGAAAAAAAAGGAGCGAAACTAAACATTTTACAATCATTCATTTTCTAATATTTACAATTGTTTGTGAGCGAAATAAAAGCGAAACACTTTCTGTACAAAACACAAGATTCAGAGTTCAGAATTATTAGCAGGAAAATCGAAGCGAGTCAAATGAACATGCAGCTGTTCAGTGCTCCCTCTACGCCTTCGGAGGTGAAATGACTTTTTTTTTTAAATATAACGAACCAGCGGAAAGTTTAAAGAGGGGGGATCGCGCTTCTGTTACTTCTCGGGGGCCGACGCACACGGCAGGATTTAATCGGTTTTAAAATCTCCGATCCTGGATATAAATCACAGGATACAGGCGAGTTTCAGATGACGTCGTTGTTATTAAAAGCCCGCGTTGCTGCTGGGAAATATTTTGGTCGGAGGCGAGAAACATGGTAGCATCAAACACAGTGCGTAACCTCGCGTATTTCTCCACGATAATGGTAAATTCCTGCTCTGTTATCGGACGCACAAATAGAAGCACGGAAGAAGGAAAATGTCTTTTTCGTATTCTGAGTGAAAAGAACCGCTAACGGTGAATTAAACGACTTTCAAACATCCGCAGAGCAAACGTAGAAGATCCTAACAAACCGTGGACTCCAACAAGTTCAACAACACATCCAGACTCTTGGAGGTTTTCATCTTTTCTGCTGTGAACGGCCCAGGAGTTTCCACCAAGTCATTGTGGATATCGCTACTATTACTTCATTTACTGAACTAAAATGTCATGAGTTTATCCAGGAAAACCTGCACTAGTTTACGATTCAACGAACCCACACTGGGCTCCTGAGATCAACACGACGCACGAGTCGAAGAGTCTGTGAGACCGAACCTCGAAAGAATCGACCATGAAAAGATCCTCGCGAACGTTAGAAAAATCCACTCACAAAAAGAGATTAATTCTAGAAGACAAAGTTGTGGATAAACAAGACAATAAAGAAAACATGGTCCTACGACGAGTGACATGTTTATATGTGCTGGAAGATCCAGTTTCTACTCACACTCACACTGCAAATGTTTTCTTTTTACATTTTAGTTCAGTAAATGTGCTTCTCTCATTAAATAAACTATGAAACAATTTAAATAGTAAATACCTTGATGAAAGTGACGTGAGTGTGTCTTGATTGGAAATCTCTTTGTGGTTTATGTTCTCTAGACATAATTCGTTTTTTTTTTCAATAATTCCCTTGTTTGATCCTGATGAGTCATTTCCAGAGGAACAGTGAAGAAACAATTTGTTTTATCCCTTTCAGAGCGTCTAGAACAACCAAATACACAACAAAACCTGCCCATGTTTCTCCGATGCTGCTGAAGTCAATGACATAGTGTGTCCGGTGTCATGACGGCGTAGTTACCGTTGCCATGGGGACACGTGACGGTGCTAAGTCTCTATGTGGAGGTAAATTAACACCTTAGCGTTTTGTTCATTTTATTTTTATTTATAATTTTTACAACATGTCCTCTGTAATGGACGCCGGGGACATTTTGGTGTTAAATCCGAACAATAACAACTTTTTTGATGACCAACAGCTTCTACAGTCGCCTCTAAAAGTTTGTTTAGACTCCCTTTTTATTTAGTCCTAGTCCCCCACCCCCCGTTAAGAGTCTGTCTCAAAACACTAAACTCGACGTCCACTACAGAGGACGACACAATCGAATGGGCCGGCTCTCGGGAGGACATCGAAAGAACGGAAAGCAGAGTACGGGAAATGTTTGTAGAGCGGTAGAGTGGCAAAGACGACCGATCGCAGCCCTTTTTGTCTGCATCGTGTTCGCTTACAGTCCAAAAAATACGGTACGTGATTTTGAAAGCATAAAAGATCGGCGATAAAGTCACTGCGGTTCACCCGGATCCGTAAACAGACACGCGTGAGGAACTACTCCCACCTTTTTACTTAAAAAAAAAACGACTCAAACTGGATTCACGGCGCCGTTTTGTGGACTGGGCTCATTATTTGCGGAGGACAATTTCAATTTCTATGGATAATGCGGATGAGACGCTGCGGTTTATTCCTAACCTCTCGTAAAGTGATAAATTTAAAGTCTTTTTATTATTTTCGCCGTTTCCCGAGTTTGTATTTTTGTGTCCTGAAGTGTGTCGCAGCCTTAAAACATCACATATTTAGCTCACCGTGTTCCTTTAATCGTTTTAATAATGCTCAAAACGACGTACTGAGATGTGTTTTTTTAACCTGCGGTTTCTTTGCTCCCCGCGCTAAGTCACTCCCCCTTCAGAGCGCCGCCACGAAAGAACACAAGCGCGCGCCCCGTTACCGAAACTCCTGCACGTCGCGTCGGTTTTGCGTCGAGTTTTTGCGTGTTTCTGGAGAGTTGTCGCGTGGGAGAGTTGTCGCGTCGGCTCGTGGGCGGGGCCTCGTACAGTCGGGCGTGTTTTTAAAGAGGAACGGCGTCAGAACGAGAGACAAAAAAGCGCAGAGTGCCCCCTCTTTAAGCGCGTTGACGGAGATGGTGCAGGATCGATGCTTCGCGGGGCAGTAAACAGTGGTTCCTTATTTATTTAAGACTATTTGAGCAAAGCCGCTAGCATCTATTTTCCTACATTACCCACAATTCACAGCTGAAGCGCGCCGGGTACAGCTTTAAGTGACGGGTCTGCGACAGCTGCGCGTCAGATGCCCTTCCGTCTGTAGTGTTGGACTGAGACTGCAGCGTCACTCAGAGAAAAAAAAAAAAAACATTTGTGGATTTGACTTTTGGAGATTTGGTCTAGTCCCTTAGTCCCTGGTCTAGTTTCCGGTCTAGTCTCCGGTCTAGTCTCTGCTCTTGTCTCTGCTCTTGTCTCTGGTCTAGTCCTTGATCTAGTCCCTTAGTCCCTGGTCTAGTCTCTGGTCTAGTCCCTGGTCTAGTCTCTGCTCTTGTCTCCGGTCTAGTCCCTTAGTCCCTGGTCTAGTCCCTGGTCTAGTCCCTGGTCTAGTCCCTGGTCTAGTCTCCGGTCTTGTCTCCAGTCTAGTCTAGTCCCCGGTCTAGTCTCTGCTCTTGTCTCCGATCTAGTCCCTTAGTCTCCGGTCTAGTCTCCGGTCTAGTCTCCGGTCTAGTCTCCGGTCTAGTCTCCGGTCTAGTCTCCGGTCTAGTCTCCGGTCTAGTCTCTGGCCTTGTCTCTGGTCTAGTCCTTGATCTAGTCCCTTAGTCCTTGGTCTAGTCCCTTAGTCCCTGGTCTAGTCCCTGGTCTAGTCATTGGTCTAGTCTCCGGTCTAGTCTCCAGTTTAGTCTCTAGTCTAGTCCCCGGTCTAGTCCCTGGTCTATTCCCTGGTCTAGTCCCTTAGTCCCTGGTCTAGTCTCCGGTCTAGTCCCTGGTCTAGTCTCCGGTCTAGTCTCCGGTCTAGTCCCTGGTCTAGTCCCTGGTCTAGTCCCGGGCTAGTCCTGCTCTTGTCTCTGGTCTAGTCCTTGATCTAGTCCCTTAGTCCTTGGTCTAGTCCCTTAGTCCCTGGTCTAGTCCCTGGTCTAGTCCCTGGTCTAGTCCCTGGTCTAGTCCCTAGGTCTAGTCCCTGGTCTAGTCCCTGGTCTAGTCCCTGGTCTAGTCCCTGGTCTAGTCCCTGGTCTAGTCCAGTCTAGTCCCTGGTAGTCCTGGTCTAGTCCCTGGTCTAGTCTCCGGTCTAGTCCCAGGTCTAGTCCCAGGTCTAGTCCCTGGTCTAGTCCCAGGTCTAGTCCCTGGTCTAGTCCCAGGTCTAGTCTCCGTCTAGTCCCCGGTCTAGTCCCCGGTCTAGTCCCCGGTCTAGTCCCAGGTCTAGTCCCAGGTCTAGTCCCTGGTCTAGTCCCAGGTCTAGTCCCAGGTCTAGTCCCAGGTCTAGTCCTGGTCTAGTCCCTGTCTAGTCTCCGGTCTAGTCTCCGGTCTAGTCCCCGGTCTAGTCCCCGGTCTAGTCCCCGGTCTAGTCTCCGGTCTAGTCTCCGGTCTAGTCTCTTAGTCCTCAGCAGTAGGAGTGTGGGAGGGCATCTGACTCAGGGCTGTAGTGTGGTGTGTAGTGTCGGGATGAGCGGGCGGGGGGCGTGTCCTGGGGGGGTGGGGGGCGGGGCCAGGCCTAGCGGGAGCACTGATTGGTTCACGTTGGTCACATGAGCACGTCGAGGTCGTCGGCGTGGTCGTCCTCCTCCGTCACCCGCAGCGACAGAACCTCCTCGTTCAGGAACAAACCGCTGAGTCGCTCTTTCCGCGCCTGACGCTGCTCCTTCAGCTGACGCTTCCTCAGAGCCTTCTGCTGCAGCTTCCTCTGCTTGGAGCGCTTCTGCGGGCACCGGGAGGGCATCCGGGCCACGGGGGGGGCAGAGGGAGGGCAGAGGGAGGGAAGAGAGAGAGGAGAGAGAGAGAGGGAAGAGAGAGAGAGAAGAGAGAGGGAAGAGAGAGGGAACAGAGAGAGGGAAGAGAGAGAGGGAAGAGAGAGAGGAGAGAGAGGGAGAGAGAGGGAAGAGAGAGAGAGGGGAGAGAGAGGGAAGAGAGAGGGCATCAGGGTTAGAGAGAGGGCAGAGAGAGAGAGAGAGGGAAGAGAGAGGAGAGAGAGAGAGGGAAGAGAGAGAGGGAAGAGAGAGAGCAAAGAGAGAGAGGGAAGAGGAGAGAGAGAAGAGAGAGAGGGAAGAGAGAGGGAAGAGAGAGGGCAAAGAGAGAGGAAGAGAGAGAGGGAAGAGAGAGAAGAGGGCAGAGAGAGGGAAGAGAGAGAAGAGAGAGAGGGAAGAGAGAGAGAGAGAAGAGAGAGAGGGAGAGAGAGGGCAGAGAGAGGAAGAGGAGAGAGAGAGAGAGAGGGCAGAGAGAGGGCAGAGAGAGGGAAGAGAGAGGGCAGAGAGAGGAGAGAGAGAGGGAAGAGAGAGGGCAGAGAGAGGGCAGAGAGAGGGTAAGAGAGAGAGGAGAGAGAGAGGGAAGAGAGAGAGAGAGAGAAGAGAGAGGGAAGAGAGAGAGAGAGAGAGAGAGAGAGGGAAGAGAGAGAGGGAAGAGAGAGGGAGAGAGAGGGCAGAGAGAGGGAAGAGAGAGAGGGAAGAGAGAGGGAGAGAGAGAGGGAAGAGAGAGGGAAGAGAGAGGGCAAAGAGAGAGAGGGAAGAGAGAGAGAGAGGCAGAGAGAGGGGAAGAGAGAGGCAGAGAGAGAGGAAGAGAGAGGGCAGAGAGAGGGAAGAGAGAGAGGCAGAGAGAGGGTAGAGAGAGGGTAGAGGAGAGAGAGAGAGGCAGAGAGAGAGGAAGAGAGAGAGAGCAGAGAGAGAGGGAGAGAGAGGGTAGAGAGAGGAGAGAGAGGAAGAGAGAGAGAGAGGGCAGAGAGAGGGCAGAGAGAGAGGGTAGAGAGAGGGAGAGAGAGGGTAGAGAGAGGGCATCACGGTTAGAGAGAGGGTATCAGGGTCAGAGAGAGGGCAGAGAGAGGGTAGAGAGAGGGCATCAGAGAGAGAGAGGGTAGAGAGAGGGTAGAGAGAGGGCATCAGGGTTAGAGATCCAGATGAGAGAAATCTACTGTGTTCTTTTTTGTTGTTGTTTTTTTTTTTTTACATATATTTGTCTTTTGGTTTAAAGTGACACAATCTGCAGACTTGACTCCGGATCATTTTCATCTTCAGGTTTAATCTTTTTAAATCTTTTTACCTTTGAGTCTCTGATCCTCTCGGCGGCGCTCGACAGGTTTCCATCACTGTGAGCTCGGCTGATGTTTGTCACACTGCTCCCACTACAGGCCGACGCCGGACCTGCAGCACGAACACAAACACAAACACAAACAACACTACATCATTATAATATGACACAGGCCGATGAACTCCCCCTACAGGCCGACGCCGGACCTGCAGCAGGAATAATATCATCATTATAACAGTGGTGGCGTCAGGACCTGCAAGGCCTAAAAAAATATCAGACTGACTCAGATTTTGAGTTGGTGTCACCAGGAACTTGAACAGCGAACGACAACGACACCGAGTTCAGACCCGTGATTGGACAGAGAGAAAACCAGACAAAACAGCAAACTGTATCTGCAGCGGAACCAGGTCTAAACCAGGACTAAACCAGGACTACACCAGGTCTAAACCAGGACTAAACCAGGACTAAACCAGGACTACTAAAACCAGGTCTAAACCAGGACTAAACCAGGACTACACCAGGTCTAAACCAGGACTACATAAACCAGGACTAAACCAGGGGACTACACCAGGTCTAAACCAGGTTTTAAACCAGGACTACACCAGGACTACACCAGGACTACTAAACCAGGACTTTAAACCAGGACTAAACCAGGACTACAGGAACTACCAGGTCTAAACCAGGTCTAAACCAGGACTAAACCAGGTCTACTAAACCAGGTAACCACTAAACAGGACTAAACCAGGACTAAACCAGGTCTAAACCAGGACTACACCAGGACTCTAAACCAGGTCTAAACCAGGACTACACCAGGTCTACTAAACCAGGACTCTAAACCAGGACTAAACCAGGACTAAACCAGGACTAACAGGACTACTAAACCAGGTCTAAACCAGGACTAAACCAGGACTAAACCAGGTAAACCACCAGGACTACTAAACCAGGACTAAACCAGGACCAGGACTCTAAACCAGGACTAAGGACTACTAAACCTAAAACAGGTCTAAAACCAGGACTAAACCAGGTCTAAACCAGGACTGAAACCAGGTCTAAACCAGGTCTAAACCAGGACTACCAGGACTCTAAAACAGGTCTAAAACCAGGACTAAAACCAGGACCCAGGACTAAACCAGGTCCAGGACTCTAAACCAGGGGTCTAAACCAGGTCTAAACTAAACCAGGACTAAACCAGGACTCTAAACCAGGTCTACTAAAAACCAGGTCTAAACCAGGACTAAACCAGGACTAAACAGGACTAAACCAGGACTCTAAACCAGGACTAACTAAACCAGGACTAAACCAGGACTAAACCAGGACTAAACCAGGACTAAACCAGGACTAATCTTGGACTTGAGAGAGAGTGAGAGAGATCCCCGAGCCCGAGGACCAGGGTGTCCACAAAGCGCGATTGGACAACAGCTGCACTGAGCCCTGTGCGCCGTGGAGCCCCGTGTGGTCCTTTTGTCCGCGGTCACCTGACAGTCTACGCAGGTGCACCTTCGGGCTCGTCCCAACAAACAGTCCTGGTTTAGTTCTGGTTTAGTTCTGGTTTAGTTCTGGTTTAGCACCCCACTCTCCTCACTTCTCTGTGCACAGAATCTCCAGCTCTTTATTCTGTGTTTCTGTAGAATAAGACACTTTTATAACCATAAAACATTTCTTGAGGAGGGGATTGTTTCAGACGGAGCTCTACTGAAGGTCCAGGCCCACCACTGTTATAACAACAACTGAATATGAGCGCCCTCTACAGGACGACGCTGGTCCTGCAGCAGAAACAGAAGCCCAATTTATGATCATGCGTCAAACCGCCTGAACCCCTCCACAGAGCGTCTGCGTCCGTCGACATGCACCGCCAACATTTTGTAACCACGTCAAAGCGACGCAGACAATAGGAGCTGTGATTGGTCGACTCTACGTCCTCTCTACACACATTTCCATTACTCCACTTTCCCGCTTCATTTTATAAACACAAACACCAGCTTTAAGTCGTCGCCTCCTAGTGTTGAGGCGGTGAATTACTTGGCGGCGCATCGACCTCGACGCAGATCTGTAAATCAAAAACGACGGCGGCAGAGTGCGCTGAGTCGACACAGATCTATAATTCAGCCTTTAAACTGATAAATATATTAATAAGAGCTCCCCCTACAGGCCAACGCTGGTCTGGCAACAGAAACAGGAACATTGCTCTTTTTTTTTTGCTCATTATTACCATTTATATTTTTTTTACTCTTTGTTTTTATAATGTATTGTGATGTAGAGCTCCTGTGTCCAAATAATTTCCCTTGTGGATCAATAAAGTTTGTCAAAGTCTAAGCCTGTCATCATCATCATGAATATGTGACTGAAGTTCTGTAAATAAAAGAAATTCCGTCTAATTCCGTCTTTATACTGCATTACACTGTGAGGAGGAGGATCTAGGTTTAGTGTTTCTGTAGTTTATTTTAGTCCCAAATGTAGTCGAGTTAGTCAGTCAGTGATTTTAAACCCGTAGATTTTGTTTCCACTCATGTACCTGTGACAGAGTTGGAGGCCGTGGACCCGGTGGAGGAGCTGGCAGAGCTGATGATGCTGGCGTTGCTGGCGTTGCTGCTCCCCGCCCCGGTGCTGTGGGCGCTGTGGGTGCTGTGGGCGCTGTGGGCGCTGTGGGTGCTGTGGGAGCTCCTCTTCCAGCTCTCTCTGTCCCTGGTGCTCGCCCTCTGCCGCGGGCTGTGCTCACGGATGTAACTGCGCACCTGCACGGGCGAGGACAGGTGAGGGACAGGGGAGGGACAGGGGGGGGACAGGTGAGGGACAGGTGAGGGACAGGGGAGGGACAGGTGAGGTCTTCAGCGTCTTCTTAAACAGTGAACGGCCATTTCAACTACACTTTGCGTCTCTCAGTCACACACACCGGCCGCAGTGTATTTTCAAAGTCAGAGTATTTTCAAATAGTAGTACTGGAATCGTGTCTTCATTTACCTTTCCTCTCCTCTTTCTTCCTCTCTCCTCCTCTCTCTCTGTCTCACCTGTTTGAGTTTGTCGTCCGTCAGACAGTTGAGCTCGATGATGAACTCGCTGTCCGTGGGGGAGATCTGGGCGCTGGGGTCGATGATCTTGATGATGTCCAGCTGTTCCCGCAGGCCCATCTCCGTGCTCACCTTCCGACTCAGGTACTCGATGTACTCCACCTGCAACGCACGGAGAGGGAGGGAGGGCATCAGGGGCAATCTGACACACGGGGAGGGCATCTGACACACAGGGAGGGCATGACACACGGGGAGGGCATCTGACACACACACGGGGGAGGGCGCCTGACACACACACGGGAGGGCACCTGACACACACACGGGGGGAGGGCACCTGACACACAGAGGGAGGGCACCTGACACACAGAGGGAGGGCACCTGACACACACACGGGGGGAGGGCACCTGACACACACGAGGGCACCTGACACACACAGAGGGAGGGCACCTGACACACACGGGAAGGGCGCCTGACACACACACACGGGGAGGGCACCTGACACACACAGAGGGAGGGCACCTGACACACACAGAGGGAGGGCACCTGACACACACGAGGGAGGACCCTGACACACACACGGGGGGAGG